GGGGGGGGGGGGGGGGGTGAACCGCGGTCTCGCATACGCATACTTTTTCGTTCGGGCGCACGCCAGAGCCGAGAACCGAGGGAAGATACAAGGGATCCGCTGGCACCCCGATGGATCCTCGACGTTGCCTCCCCGACTCAATTCATCGGGACTCTTTCCTTTTTTACAGGATTAAACGGAGCGGCTCGGTAAAAATTCTTAGGATTTCGTTAATTGACGAGGGGAGGACCTGGGTCACGGGGCCGGGAAGCCGGGCTGCGAGGAGCCAGCCGAAGATTCAACCCGTCNGGGGGGGGGGGGGGGGGGTGGACCGCGGCCCAGAGGCTCGCTCGCATACGCACCGTGTAGAAGGAAGTCGCCGTAAGAACCCGTGTTATTTAATCTCCCATAAGGCCCATGTAATTTTTGAGTTCAAATCCCTATTTCCCTACTACTAAGATCAGAGACAAGAGACCCTCCACCAGTATCTTCGCAATGGTGGAAGCTTTTACTTTCGGGACTTCAACATTAAACTTTGACTTACCTATACATGGTTGATGTTCTACAACGTGATGGCAGTTTCGTTATGCAAGCAAGTCGAAGTTTGGGAAACTTGTTTCTCTCATGACGTCACCCGAAGCTTATCATCCACCATGTAGGTAGGTCAACAGCCGAAATCAGGGTACAATACATTAGAAATTAGGGCTCCCTTATAATTGTCCGAAAGGAATTGTTGAATCCCCGAAAGTAAAAGCTTCCACCTGTCACCAAGAGGTCAGTGGAGGGTGTCTTGTCTTTGTGTGCTGCCGTGCCAAGGAAAAACGCCGTATGAGCCTTCAGACGTTGCCAAGAATTCGTCGATAAAGATCGAATTTAATGGGTTAATAAATGTACAACACAGAGAAATAAGCAGAGAGGAAAAAATTTAAGACGATTGAAATCGTACAAGTAAAAAATTTTACGATACTAGATTAATTTTTTTTAGGGTCTGTGTCTGAGCACCCCAAATCGTAGTAGACTAAGATAACTGCCCCCAAAAAGTGTGGCACGGACGAAGCAAACTTTTGATTAAGAAGAGAACTTTAAGAACTCGACTTCATATTCGTTCGATTCTACCGCTGAATGGAAATTGCTTTTCTACTTCAAAAACTTTGCGGCGTTGTATCTGAGAAAACATCCTTATTTTTCCGCTTTCTTGAATCTTTTGCATCTGCACACGCCACCAACGGTTTACTTACCGGTTTCATGGCCTCTGGTTCAGACTTCCACACGTGAATGATGGTCTTGGGGTCCAGATCGACACCAAAATCGAAAACTTCCTGCCACACTACAGGTTTTAGATTGAGCAGATTTGTGATGTTCAGCAGGCGCGTGAAGTAATACGTCTCTAGTTCAGTGAAGTTCCTGCTCATGTTGTATTTGTTCATGAATGAAGCTATCTTTGGATTATCCTCCCTGTCACAGAAATGGGTAGAATAGAATCTATGTATTTGGAATACATGAATGGAGATGGAATCTATGGATTTTTCCTTGTCCCCCTACCCTAGAGTAATCCAGCTTGAATCAAGAAAGAAAAAACCCTTGGCAGACATTAGGTACTACCTATACAATGTCCGGCTCGTTCGTAAAAACACGTATGCCAATAGGGAAAATAATGGTACATACATTGTTTTTAAACTGAGCCATAAATTAAAGTTCCCAATGGATCAATTTTTTAGTCTCAGAATCGTTTTCAGCGCTTGCTTCTGGTCGATTGGCTAAAAATATGAAGATCTGTCCCAACAGCAACTTTCTACGTTCAATATTAACCGAGATATCGAGCTTTGAAAAATTCGGTTCATGCCGTCAGCCACCGAATTTTTCAAAGCGCGATATCTCGGCTAGTATTGAACGTAATGAGTTGCTGTTTGGAAAAATCCTAATATTTTTAGCTAAATTACAGGAATCAAGCATCAAAAAACGATTCGACCGGCGCAACTGACCTATTGCAAAAAAAATTTAGTCCAATTTCAGAATCATCATGTTTTAGGCAAGTAATTTTTTCAGTGTGTATGATAATGGTCAGAGAAAAGAGACCCTCCGCTGTCCTTTTGGCGACAGGTGGAAGCTCTCACTTTCGGGGCTTCAACAATTCCTTATGGACAATTAAAAGGGAGCCACAGTCATCCCCCCTATTTCGGCCGTTGACCTACCTACATGGTGGATGATGAGTTTCGGGTGACGTTATGAGCCAACCAAGTTTCCCAAACTTCGGCCATTTTCGGCTTGTTTGCAAAACGAAACTGCCAACATATTGTAAAACATCAACCATGTAGGTAAGTCAACAGTAGAATAATAAAGTCCCGAAAGTAAAAGCTTCCACCATGGCCAAGATACTAGTGGAGGGTCTCTTTTCTCTGGATATAGTCAATAAAAACTTTGTGAGTATTACCAGCACTTAATTTCGACTTCATCGCCGCCGAGATGGATGTATTTATCCTTGAAAACAGACGCTATTTCGATGAGCAATCTCTGGAGGAAAACGTAATTGTTTGGTTCTGACGGGTCGACGGGCCCGTATTCCCCAGTTGTGTTGCACTGGGCCAGAAGTCCCTTCACGCTTGCACCCCAAGATAGAGTATGACCTGTGGGTGAAAGGAACAATAGCGGACGGTTAAGTTGTATCTTAAAGTTTCCCAGACTCCATGGCCCCTTACCTAAAAAGCGGTGATCGCAATAAGTTGCGATTTGATCGGAGAATGTATCGCGTTTATCGCATTTTATCGACGTTGATTTTTTGTAATATTATAGGATGAAAAATTGTGCTAACTTGCAATTTCATCACATAAATTTGCAGTAAAATCGCAATTTCATTTACAGCAATTTATCGCAATATTATCAAACAAAAATTGGGATAAAATTTCGATTTTATAGTGCGCGATTTTATAGAGATAAAATTGCGGCATTTGGCACAGTCACTCAGATGTTTATGATCCTAGCGGTACTATCGCCAAATATCGTTAAATAATCGCAGCTTAATTTCAGACCATAGAGATTTTCATCATAGAGATTTTTCCGTTGAAAAATGCTGTTTGGTTACATTTAGCAGCTCGTTAAATTTCCGACACTTTAGAACAATCCCAGACACCCAAAGTAGCACAGATTGCAATAAATTGTAATTAGATGGACTTTATGGTACAATTATTACTACTGCTTTGTACTGCTTCGGAGAGTTGTGTATTTTGCCTGTCTACTGGTCAAAAATGTATTGCAATGCAGTTGAAGTAAGTTGCAATTTTTCATTTCACTGGATATTGCATATCTCTTTAACACATGGAACTCATTTTGTCGATTGTTTAATATCTACATTTATTGACCAAATGATGCAAAAATATTGCAGTTTCATGTCGTAAAAATTATCATTTCACTGTAATCAATTTGAATTGTATTCCAATATTTTCGTTTCACTGTGCTACTTGGGCAATTTGAAATTAAGAAAGGTCCCAAAAAGCGCCCTGAGGTGGATCGCTTTAGCGGTTTGGGGAACGATTCGATAGTCAATCGATCAATCAAAATTTCTGGGTCTTAGGACATTCGTTAAGAATTTCTAATCATCACATCATGCAGAAATGCGTTAGGTATTGATGCACGAAAAGTAACCAAAAAGCATATTAGTAGGGAGAAATTTGCGGTTTGATCACAGTTCAAGGTCATCGGGAGGGAATGGCGTTGTAGGGTCTGTTGATGTAATCTGATACTTTGGAATTTTATTTTTGTACTGCGCAATTCAAAGTCATACAGGGAATGACGTCATACTGCCTGTCTAAGTCTATACTGTTGTAATTTGATACTTTCTCCGAAAATGTTTATTTTTTAACACGTAGACTACTGATGTTATTTGATACTTTGCTCAAGAATTTTTTACTGCGCAATCTCATGTTTGACTGGAGTAAAACATGCTATTTAAGATGGATCAAAATCGAACAATAAGAATGATAGCCTACCAATTTTTAAATTCAATTGTACAGTACAAAAATAAAATTCCGAAGTATCAGATTACATCAACAGACCCTACAACGCCATTCCCTCCCGATGAAATTGAACTGTGCTCAAACCGCCAATTTCCCCCTACTCATGTTCAAATTGTATTAAAAGCACGTACCCAGTGAATATCGCAAATCGAGAGGCATAATTATTTGCGAGCGGTTTGCTTTTTGAGTTATTTCAAAATGTTTCTCGTTTTTGCGTGTAAAAATACTTGACGTACTACAGCGTGTTGTGACGCTCGGGCATTATTTAGAAAGGACCTAGAATCTATTAATTATACATCGATTGATCGAGTGTGCATTAGCTAAATCAAACGGTTCAGAGTTCATGCATAGCTATATACCATACTTTCAGATTTAATTCAGGTTTCAGAAACGAGATTTTTTGGGAATTAGTGCTGCAATGTGAATGCGCTTCTACTCGTAGATGATTAGCATTTTGTCAAAAATTTAAAGTAAGACCGGTATTGCAGTGAGATTTGTGTTATGTCTCGATGCGTGAATTTACCTTTATATTCCGCTTAAAGTATGCATGATATTGGAATGAACCGAATTAAATGTGGAAAAATGCTCTAGTGAAATTCTCATGGTGTCGCTACCTAAAATTGATTAATTTGACGAAAAAAGATAAGGAGGGAAGAAGGCAATATGATGTTTTACTTCAGATGCAAAAATTGGTGGAATGGGTCTCTTTATACAAAATAGGAAAAATGAATTACTTGATTAAGTATACACGTAAAAGAAGTACCTGGAGTGTCGAATTCGGGGATAACTCTAATACCACGATCTCTTGCAAAATCAATGACATTTTCAATGTCAGAAAGTGAATAAACTGCCAGCTCTGGATGATATGCTCCTTTAAGGCTGCAACAAAACAATACAAAATTCGATACACGATCGAAGATTTTCAGCGTTCTATACGCATTTAGTTATTTTTTCATTATAAATGACCCGCGCGTCAGTGGCGTGGCGTGTTTTGCGATATATCGATTATTTTGCCATTTAAACCTATGGAAAAGGATCGATAAACAGGGTGTTCGCAGCGAACACCTTAGTAATCGATTCTTTACCATAGGTTTAAATGGCATAATAATCGATATATCGCAAAGCACGCCACGCCACTGCCGCGCATCCACTGCTAGATGCAAGTGTGTTTCCCGAGATAGGAGCGGAAGCCATGGAATTAGAAATCTGTAAGCCACGTTGCAACGAAGCAAAGAAATGAAACGGCAACGCAAATCCTCTGGGCAAAGTAGATCTGAATAATTTGCTAAAACTAACAATAAGCATTTGCGAAATCCAGGTGATTCAATTCACAGGTGAAGCCCAAGTAGCATTTTTCAACGGATAAATCGCGATATATTGCGATCACAACATCAACATCAACATCTGAGCGATTATTCTCGATCTTGTTCCAATAAAATTACGGCATTGTATCGCGATATAATCGAAACAAAAATCGCGATGTATGGCAATTTAATCTCAATTTATCGACGAAAATTGATCGTCATTTTATCGAACAAAAAATTGGGCTGCAAATCGCGATGATCAACCGATAAAATCGCTATTTGACACGATCATTGCCACTTGGGAGGGGGGTGGGGGTTTCGGAGGGATCAGCGCCAGAGCCGCCGAAAAAGGGGACAGTAGAGGAACATACAAAACAGTCGGTGGAAGCTGGTATATGTGTCGCAGGCAAATGGTAAAATCTGGCATTTTGTCAAATGCCAGGCAAATAGTCAAATATTCCAACTTAGTTTGAAATGTTAAATATTTTCCTGATTTCACAGAAAATAATTCATTGCTCATGTGAAAAAAATTCTAAGTAAAAATTTGCATTACACAATAGTATTTTAAACAATTTTTAGCTTCTGCGCAGCCATTTATCTTGAAATTTTCAGCATGTCATTAAATCCAGAATTTTCGGAATTTCAGCATTTGAAAGTATGAGAAGCAATTGAAGAGGAAAAGACAAAAGGAGTTCGTAGGCTCCATGAGTTATTCTTCCAAAAATATTGAAACCTCATGAGCTCTTCGCCATAAATTCACAAAATTTTGTAGACCATCAAAATTCAACTATTTGCCTCGACATTTGACAGCATGCCTGATTTCACTTTTTGCCTGCGGATGGTATCGGTGCATCGACGTTCAAGTCCCAAAAATCAAATTGTTTGCAACGGGTCAAGGTAAGTAGGACTGCCGTGCTAAGGAAGAACGCCGTATGAACATTCGAGAGTTGCCAAATTTCCTTCGATAAAATGCTCATTTTTGAGGAAAGTTATGAATATTTTCCTTTGAAATTCTCAGAATCTTTGGGCAAAATTGTGAACTAATTATCTGGAAAAATTGGGAGGAAAATATTCATAAATTTACCAGGAAATTCGCGTTGAATGAGAAGAAATTTGGCAACGTCTGAAGGTTCATACGGCGTTTTACCTTGGCATGGCAGGACGAGACAAGCGAAATTTATTGCGGTTGGAATTCGGCGAGCGCAGACAGACATAGAAGAAGGGGAGAGAACCAGTTTTTTGTGCAAAAAATGATGCAATCTGATTGGCGAGCGGTGACGTCAGCTCAGCGCCAAATTCCGCTGATCGGCGCTGCGCAGGCCCGCCACATCCCATCTCGGGCCCTGGTACCAATTTTCTGGCCCGGGCCCCTAGCACAGGGGGAGGGGGTCCGGGGGGCCTCCCCCGGGAAATTTTTGAAATTTTAAATCTATTTGGACGCATATGAAGCTCTTATGATGGAGATTTTCCATCAATTTCTGCAGAATAATTACGCCTTTTTGTTTACTTTCAGCACCAAAAACTTTCGAATTGTTGAATTCAAAACATCTATAAATTTTTTTTTGAGGGGGCAGATGATAATTTTCAATTCTATGGGGAGCCGGGCCCCCCTGGACTCCCCTTTCGTACGTCTATGGCAAGGGAGTTAAGCCATTGAAGT